CCGATGCCACTTTTTCAGGCCCAAGTACAAGTACAAGTACAATACCTTCATTCAGCCATACCTCGGAGCCAGCCTGCTCAGGGATTGGTCAGAGTCAGATGCATAGTCACAGTCTGAGGATGGATCCTCCCTCACTGTATGTTGAGGCCCCAACCCTGCAACAGGGGGAAGCAATCAATCCACCAGACTCAAGGAAACCAGCAGAACTCAGAGAAATCAGTATCCAGACTGATTACAGTCCAGATATATACTAAATTTAGTAGCGACATAATAGAGGGCGCTACACTCTATTTTAACATTTAAGCAGTTTAATTATGCAAATGTATTTATTGTACATTTGGCTAAATGAAGCATATGTTATGTTAGTAGGCATTTCATACAAAATGACAAGCACAGTAATGTAACCAATAGGATTTTCAGACTTATACTTAGCTGTGTATAATACCCCTAACCACATATATAGCTTTATCGCTAACGTTGTCAGCTATGATAATCTCCTGAAAGCCTTTTTAATCCATTTGTAAATGTTATGCATATCCTTTAAAATTACGATTAATGTATTTTTGGCTTTCTGATTCTTTAAGTATAACTTACTTACAGGATAAGTGAATATTATCATACTAAGATGAGTCACTAAGATATACAACTTTACAGTTATAAAGCTGGATATTCCTTTGTACACAACATGCTACACATAGGTCTGTTTTAAATTATATAGCCAGGAGGCTGATTGTTTTTATATATAATGTAGGCCTCTTTGCCTTTCATGATTGAAGTCCAACTCCAACCAGATTGGAGGAGGGTTAGAATTGTCAGATTTCTATTGCTGCCTGACTCCACTGTAGAGAACCCCTTTTCCATTACCTCAGGTTTTATCCTTGTGACAGCAAGATGGGGCGTTAGAGGGACAGGTAGACAATAACAAAGGTTAGAAGTAGATATGTGTGATTCGGTTTTTTTCAGAATTGAAATTCGGACACATTTCGGTATATTTGGACATTCGGATACCTTTAGGTCTGGTAGGAATTTGAGGGGGGACCCCCAATGCCAAAAAAAAAAAAAAGTGTGGGATTCCCCCCTAAATCCCTTACCACACCCTTGATATGAGCAGCAGGAAAGGGGGTGGGATGAGCCTCCCCCCCCCCCCTCCTGCACCATACCAGGCCACATGCCGGGGGGGGGCAAGGGCTCTTCACCACAACCCTGGCCTGGTGGTTTCATATGGAGTGCACCCAGATGCCGCCCCCCCTTTTGTGAATGAGCAAGGGGTAGTTGTTACCCATACGCATTCACCAAATACAGTAAAATTGTAAATAAACACCACACCGTGAAAAAAAAGTCCTTTATGAAAAAAAACAAAACACAGTTTTCATATTTGTCTCAAGTCTTTTATTAAAAGAAGAAAAACCCCCCAAAAAGTCCATCAATGTAACCCAAATCATGTCGTAATGATGTAGATCCACATCAATCACGACTTGCCGAAAGAAAAAATACCCGACATCCGCCGACACGACCGAATCCGATGAACTCTCACTGTAAAATGACAGCTCTGACCTAAATGTCAACAAAGGGGCAGAGTGAGTTGTGACGTCACAGAACTTGTTCTGTCCCTTTGTTGACATTCAGGGAGCAGAACTGTCATAATAACAACAAAGCACGCTCATTCCCCCCCTTTCCGGCTCCGCCAAGCTGCTGCTCGGATCAAGGATCAGGCAAGGGATTTTAGGGGGAACCCCATGCTTTTTTTTGTGTTTTTGGCATTGAGGTCCTCCCTAAAACTCCTACCAGACCTAAAGGATCTGGCATGAACTGGGGGGGAGCTGCACGCTGTTTGTTTTTTTCTTATTGTGTCTCTGGACTGTCAAAAGTTAATCCGAATCTTGAAATGAATTGACTTTCGGACCTGAATCCCGAAAAACAAAATAACGAAAAATAGAAAACGAAACACATTTTTTGCCGGTACACATGTCTAGTTAGAAGAGTTTCTAACCTGTCTCCACTCTGTGATAAAAATATTTTGGTTGGTATCTTTGTACAGAATGTTGAGATTTCCCATTATATTTGGGGATGCTACCAGGACATGAAGAGGATCGAAATTGACCCAATAGGGACACAGACAACACCAAATACCGACAGAAAAAATGTCTGAAGTTGGGCTTTTTTCCAGTCTGATTGTGGATTAAAATTACTGCAGCTGCACCGGGGCCCGAGCCTGGGGGGGGCAGTAACCGATCTAACACAGCCCCGGCGCAGAGATGGAGGGCCCACCAGATACATCGGATCGGTATCCAGCAGCCGACGGGCCCCCCCATCTCTGCGCCGGGAGTGTCAGATGATCAGATCGGTATGCG